AAGTGCTTTTCAGCTTTATTCCGTCTATGCGATGTATTGCAAACGTGATATCGCAGACTGTGTAATTCCTTGATGATGAATGTTTACCAGTAGAAATGGACGGATAAGGTAGAATTTGCCTTAATGTGATCAGAACTGCAGTGGATTAGATTTGTGAACCAATGGAGTCATCTGAACACATTATACAAATCCTGATTGAGGGAACCACGGAAACCTTTAAGGAGACTACCATCGTCGAGTCAATCGCCTACACACAAACGAAGAATTGTATATCGTCTTTTGCTGAAGCTAGTTTGTACATTTTTCGTTCTTGAAACTTATCAGTTTTTTTCACCCCGATTAGCATGTGTGACTATTGCAGGAAGCATCTGACAAAGAGTGTCGGTGCAGATTGCTGAATTTCACGCAAACCGATTGTTTCTGTTAACCCATGCATTTGTACCTTTTCGTTGCATTGGTGTCAAAACTCATGGGACGATCTAGATATTCTCGCTGCATATCCTAGCAAATTGATCTCTCAAGAAATACGGTTGGTGACGTACAAACACGGCGATCCAATTGCGGATGAATCGCCACGAAATTTCGCTGATCAACGTTTCCAACATGAGAATTAACAATATTCACGCTAGTTTTGCATATCCGTACTGCTCGATGAACATTGGGATCTTTGAAAAACAGAAATTTGTATGTATTATATATAATACAATACATTTTAATATTATAAGATAATATATATGTATTTGTATGAAAAGAAGAAAATATCGTTAACAGATCGCTTTTAAAAGTAAAAGGAAAAATTTCCATGGTCAGTGGCTTTGAAAGAAACCTAAACTATTGCATCAATCGATGGCATTGCTTCAGAATTGAACGAACCAAGAACCGTTCAAAGTGCGACAAACTGTCAGTTCAAAGAATATTGTTATAATCGGTGGACAGTTCAACATTCAGTTCTAACCGCTAGACGAATCAAAAAGGTGCCACGGCGGTGAACATACAATCCACAGCAAACAGACGGACAACAGAGTTTTCCTACTTCGTTTCTGAGGAGACCACGGATTCTTCTTATCAGGCATCAACTTCTTATACAAGAAGTAGCGCTGCCTCGTACGGAAACCACCCGTTTCTTCACGGTGATGAATTCAAATGGCCCACGTCGCCATTAGCTACCGCTAGCGGAGTCCATTTAATACTTCGTCATCAGCTAACGCTGGTGGAATTCATCTAAGACTTCCGCTCCCACTGAGAAACACCCTAAGCTATCGACCATGCTCTGTTACTCACCAGATTCTTCCTGAGTATAGCAAGCAACCGCCACAAAGCTGGTTAAAACGGTTGATCGCAGTACAATGCAAATGACACTGTCAAGTTGTATCACACATAACTTCTTAGTTCAGTGAAACATAAAAAGGACTCAGTGAACAATAGACGGTAATAAAATTAAGCTATCCAAATTCAGTCTAAAACAACGGTGGATTGTGGCACACAACTAAAGCATAACGGATGGATCCGCTCAGACTCAGCTGACTTTCTGAACACTCGTTCAACCATTCCTCCGGATAGCAAATTCGTCACATCGCGCAAGTTCCCTAAACACCAACTCACCAATAGCCCAAGGAATAATCGCGGGAAGTGATGAGTGGGAGTATGTAGAGGGCTGGAGAAGTCTGCGGTTATTGTTAACTACTGTAATCGTTTCGGTCAAATCAGCACTATGGATCCAAGGGATGTAGGCTTAAGTGAAGTTGTCAAGGTGCCCGACGATGTATTGATTCGTAGTTATCAACTTAATTTGGAGCAATCCACGGAAAATGTTAAAGAAAAGTTATGTTACTTTCCATCGGCTTTAGACTGATCCACTCTTGCTTTGACTGAGCAGATGCTGAAAGTTGAAATCAGTGCTCCTTATGAAGTCGATGTTTTCCGGGGAATGCGTAATCTCAGAAGGTATAAACGCTTCCTGTCCGGGAAGAACTGCATATCCGCTTTCTTGATTTCAGAGTTGACGAACCTCCTGGGTTTAGTATGGAAGTGTGAGCAGATTGTAAATCACTAACTTGAGTCGGTCATCTTACCGATTTAAAAGAAAGGCTTTAGATGGTACGGTGAAAACCACAGAGGAATGAGTTTAATCCACATCGTCTCTTAAATTCTCGCCGTCAATTTTTCGTCACATTTTTGCCGGGTGCACGCATGAGCACTAGGCTGAGTTTAGACCCGGTTGAGGCCGTTTATATCACATTTTCACCCTCCACCAATATTTAGAATCAAGACGATCTATTCATAGACCCACAATTTCCATCTTCCTCGATCTGTACGTGGCCTTTGACCCAAACGACCACGCCGAACTCTGTCGCCGCGTTTCCCTGAAGGTTGTGTCTCAGAATGTTATTTAAGTATTACGATCTTTTTATATCGACTATCCGAAACCGCGTTCGAGCTTACGGCACATTTTCGCTCAAGTTTGCCGCGGCAATTGGTACTTGTTTAGGTTCTCCGCTCTCTCCCTGTATTTCTATTGAACTCAATGATATGTTTAACAGTATAAACAGCACTAATCTTTTAAGACGATTTCGGTATCGATTTACTCCCAGGTGGCGGGCTTTAAATTGCAGGATGCAAAGTGAATTGCATTTCAAGTGAAGATTCAGGTAGGTTGTAGGTTCCTTTGTGTAGTTTTATTTCTACGGTTTGCCTGTTGCACATTTGAAGTATGAAATATTACCACCGGACTAGACTGGTCCTTAACTCAACCCTAGCAGATAAAGTAATAGAGAATGTAGACCAATCTCGCAGCTTGGACAGCTGCATCTCACCTGGTGAACGCATCATTGCTGATTCTTTGTCAAACATATGAAAATCTGAAGTGATATTCACCAATTCGAGACTTCTTTGGCGTCATTTTGACAACTGGCTATCAATGAAGTGTCCGGTGTAGATTTCAGAAGATTCGTTGGTGCTACTTTACAGTACAGAAACTCAATCTTTACGAGGACCGGATAAGGATAGTCTGTCAGTGTTCGAACATCGCTATCAGCGCCTTACTTCAATTCACTGGCGGGGAGTGGGTGTATAAACAATGCTTCCGAGATAAAACTGGCCACTGCTTTCATTAATGCTCCCCAGCTTTTCCAGCTAATCCGATCTGCTGGTCACCAAAATCAATGCATGAGTGGTAACCTATATGAAACCACTGGTGAGCTAGTCACTATCTACGACGTCAACTTGTACACTATGTGGAACACTTCAATCAACAATTCAGTTAACCATCTATCTAGTATCACCGTCCACTGATGTAAGTAGTGCTCAACGGTTTGTGAACAATTCACCAACTACTGAGGAAGAAGTTCCCCGGGAGATCAGACTCAAATTGTTCGGCCTAGATGAGCTCTCTCCGGCTCTTTTCAAAGACGCCGCTATGATCCTTGTCCATCAACCGACTTCCACATACCGAACTTTATACATATTCACACTTTAACATACAGCTGAATCCAAACTGTGAACCAAAAGCATCACGGTAAAAAAAAAATTTATGAAAAGAAAAAGCTACGAATCATGGGGCAAATCAAATCACTTCAAACCGTCCAGAAAGCTGAATACATACCTTCTAATCGGGATTTGTTGTATGCTGTATATGTTTATAAGAAGAGCCCTAGATACATTTGTCACATCACCGATGTATTACTATTGTTTCCGTTGCATCTGAGGTGATCAAACTTTTGATACTGCACAGACTCAGTTGGATTAAACAACGTCATTTTGGTGAAGAATAAACTGAACTCTACTCCGCAAGGAGCGGCGTTGACCACATGTTCACTCTACGTCAGATGTTCGAGCAATGACAAAGGTCCAGTAGACCAATCTTTGTTGTCTTTTAGATATACGTGTTTCGTTTGACGCAACTGAAGGAGTTGCTGTTTGTTATTGTCTATTAAGAAGCAATGTGTCAGATTATGGTGTGAAACCGAAAATAACTAACGCCCAGTAATTGAATGTCGAACTGTCGTTGACAATCACCTTTTCCTCTTTCCTTTTACGGGCTGTACAAATTGCGGGACGCCCAGTACAGTGATAGAAGACACTGAGAACGAAGACCAAAACAGCACCCACACTGTTGCTACGTTTTGCACCAATCTAATTTCGTCCGAATCCGTCGAGTCTTCTCCCTTATCAAACCATACTACAAAGTGGTGAACCAGCCAGAATCCATCATGCCAAACAAAAATAAGTCCGAAGAATCCCAACCTGAACTACCCTCAACGACGTTTGGGACACTCGGAAACCTGTTATCCTACCTCCTGTCCTTACTTTCCTCCGTACTCCGAGGCGGACATGTACATACCCAACCCTCACACAGCCTGCCCGCACCGAATAAGTTTGTCTTGGGAGACGACTTCCGGCGCTGGGCCACAGATGCCCAAGAATATATCGAGTTGTTCCCAGAAGACGACCGGCGGCGCATTCTGCTTTTCCTGTCGGATGGTGAAGCGAAGGATATAGCCCGAAACGTGATCCGGCCTGGCGACACCATAACCGCGAACTGGTTCTCTCGTCTGCGTCAGTAGTTGACGGATGATACCGACAGGTTGACGGTCCGATACAAGTTCCAGACGACGGTCCAACAGCGCGGTGAAAGACTTCATTCATTTATTTGACACCTGCGACTCTGGGCTGAAGACGCCTTCCCCCAATTAGACGATGAAAACCTAGACTCCGAAATCTTTGATCAAGTATGCGTTGGCGTCAGACACTCGGAGGTCGTCAAGAGATTTCGAGAAACACCCGCCACAAACATTACAGGCCGCGCTGGAGACGGGACGAGAGATCAACCAGCTCGAAAATGTGCTACGTGAGCACCGGCTTAGCTTGCAAGAGAACTTCGTCCCTATCCACTCGCCGAATCCCAGGGACAAGTTTGCAGACACTCGGGGTTTTCGCGGGCAACAACCATACCACGGAAGATAGCCCCAGACTCGTTGGCCGTCAAAATGGGGCAACTGCGAGTACTGCCGGCTTTTGGAATACCGGCACAACCAAATCAGTGGGTTCAGCGTTCCTCTCTGTCCATTTAACTGCTGTGGCCCAAAAAGCAACCCCGTGCAATATATCGTTTTCTGGGAAGAAAGTTGCAGCCATTGATCAACACCGGGGCGGCTCGCTTAGTAATACACAGAAGGCAAATCCCCTTAGATGTACCATTTAGTGAAACAGGGGTCAAACGAGTAACAGCAAACAAGGTCTCCTGTACGTCAAGGGCACTGTAACTGTCCCTATCAGTGCGAATGGCATGATAATTTCACAAACACTAATTCTGTCAGACGGTTTACCATAGGATTTCGTCCTGGAAATGGACTTCCTCCAGGCTAACCGGGCCCTAATTGATTTACTAAGGTGTTCGATTGCGATCAGGGGCCTGCGAGTCGCATTCACGCAACCCCAGATTACGAGGCGCGGATCAGCGCCATTGGGAAGTATCAATGACGTTAAGAAACTCACAAGGTATTACCCCTCCTGTCAGACAGAAAATCTGCGATTTAATCAAGAACAATGCTTCCAGAGTGAAGCCCAAATGCGTCAAAGAACTTCAGCGTGTGATCAAACAGTATGCTCACGCATTCACATGGAGTGACACTCAGCTGGGGCGGACAAGCTTAGTGAAACATCGAGTAGATACAGGAAACGCAGCACCGATGACGGTTCCTCCCAGATGCATACCGGCATTTTGGATAAATGAGCTAACCAAGACCATTAAGCATATAGAGGAATGTAACATCATCCGACATTTCACTTCCCCATGGTCTACTCCTATGGTGTTAGTAATGAAGAAAGACGGTGGCCTCCGTTTGTGTGTTGACTATAGGCAGTTGAATAAAGTAACAAAAGGGGATGCGTTTCCACTGCCCAGAGTTGAAGATCTGTTCGACGCATTGGTCAACGCGAAATACTTCAGTACTCTGGAATTAACATCTGGATACAGGCAAGTGGAAGTAGATGAAAAAGACCCCCAAAAAGCTCTTTCCACACCATCAGGGCTCTACGAGTCCCAGACAATGCCGTTCGGACTAGTGATCGCACCGGCAACGTTCCAGCGATGAATGCGACAGGCCTTGCGGGGTCTGATCTCCAACCAATGTCTGGTTTATTTGGATGATGTAATCGTTCATGGAACCACGGAAAAGAACCACATGGATAATCCAAAAACAGTCATCGACAGACTGAGGAAGATAGGCCTCCTCCTGAAACCGGAAAAAATACTGCTTCATGCAGTCTAAGGTTGCATACCTGGAACACACCAGTTCGGCAGCAGGGATCCAAACAGACTCAAAGAAAATAGAATAAGTACAATCCTGGCCTACATCACAGAATCTGGAGGAAGTCAGAAGCTTCCTAGAATTAGCGTCCTACTATGGTCGATTCATTGTCAATTTTGCCTCAATTACCTCACCTCTACACTCTATGATGAAAAGAACAAACCATTTGGATGGAACGCCGAGTGCGAAAAGTCATTTCAAACACTCAGAAAACTCCTTTGTTCAGCACCCATTTTGACACACACACCCCAAGCCACGTCTCCCTCCGCTGGACAGTTTATTCTTGACATAGATGCCAGCGATACTGTAATCGGTGCAGTACTGTCACAAATCGGGCGGGATGGAAAGGAACACGTTATAGCCTACGGGAGCCGATGCTTGAGCAAAAGTGAAAGGAAATACTGTACCATTCGAAAAGAGGTGCTGGCACTGGTATTCTTCTGAGACACTACAGAGACTATCTAGTCGGCCGCAAATTCATTGTCCGTACTAACCACCAATCCTTAAGCTGGCTATAAAATTTCAAAGATGCTGAAGGTTAAACGGTGCGGAGGTAAGAAATAATCCAGGAATACGACTTTGACTGCTATCACAGACTCGGAAAAAAGCATGCCAACGCCGGTGCGCTGTCGTGACGCCGTTCCCGCCACCATGGAGACTATTCAACTTGCGTCAACCAATACGTAGTAACAGTATGGCTGCAACAGGCGGGATACGAGCGTTGGCAATCAGTTTATGCAAACATCTACGACAGACTACGCTCAGGCGGTGGCCGACCGACCAGCCGTGATATGAAAGGAAAGATCTACGAGAACCGGTACCTTTAGTCGATATGGAACCAGTCGAGAATGGTGGAAGAAGTATTGTTTGTCCACCGCGGTCCAGGCTGGAGAAGTCTGCGGTTATTGTTAACTACTGTAATCGTTTCGGTCAA